ACAAACATCACTGTGTTCGATAAGCAGCCATATGAAAAGACTCTCTACTCTTATCTCAATGGCTGTGATGCTGCTTCTGCAGGTGAGCCATCACTGGCTGATGTTGAACAATCCCATCCTAAGAAGGTCTTAGTTGTCTAACTCCTTACTACGCTCTGAACCAGACATTAACAAAATTATCCGTTCCGCTTATGGCTCTCAGACAATTTACCAGGACCTGACATCCGATGCCCTTCGCTCATGGCACGAATGGAATCAGGACATAGCCGGGGGAGCTGATTTGCCCCCTGGCTTCTCTCCCTCCGATCGCGTCTTCGTCAATTCTGGGAACCTCGCCTGCGGCGACTACTCCTCCCTGCCGACTTTCGAACGAGCCACAGTCGAGTGCATGGAGGCTGCCGGTTTCAAGAGGACACAGCTTATAACCAACGAACCTGCGGATCTAGACGCTGCCAAGGAGAAGGGCTTTCTCACGGCAATGAACCCTTTCAGCAAGAACACCCTAGGTGTTCTAGACACCACCGGCGGGATAGCTGTGGCAGACAAGGCCTGCCTCTACGCGCTTCATAAAGCCAAGTCTCTAGGTGTTCGATTCATCCTGGACCCCTTCAACGGCGCCTTTGCCTCATTCATCCATAATTTCGACTCCCAGGTCATTGGAATTCGCACCGCTGACAACAAAAACCATCTTGCCGACATGACTATCATGGCTTGTGGAGGCTGGACTCCATCCCTCCTGCCTGAGCTTGATGGCCTTTGCGAGGCAACTGCTGGGTCCGTCGTCCTCCTAAAGATTCCAGAGTCATCCCAACTTCGACAACGATTCAGCCCTAGTCGCTTCCCATCATACACCTTCAAAGTCCGTGATGGGGCGGAAGGAGGCCTTTATGGATTCCCTGTTGACGAACGTGGGCTGCTCAAGATCGGGTATCGAGGTACGAAATATACCAACCCGAAAGTCCAGAAGGACGGCAAAGAAAGGAGCGTGCCAATTACGAGGTGGACTAGTGGAAACGAGGGAACACTCACCCAGATACCCCAGCAGGCGAACAGGGTGATTCGTAAATTCCTGGACGACTACCTCCCAGAGCTAGGCCAAGAGGGGATAGATATTTGGAAGAGCCGTGTCTGTTGGTACACTGACTCGTTCGACAACCACTTCGTTATCGATCGCGTGCCAGGCCAGAAAGGTCTCATGTGCGCTACAGGTGGAAGTGGCCATGCTTTCAAGTTTCTACCCAATATTGGAAAGTGGGTTGTTGATGTGATGGAAGGGATTGGGATGGACAGCCCGATCATTCAAACGTGGAGGTGGAGAAAATTAGAATCTAGCGAGGAGCCTGCCAATACGCTCATGGAGGGATCAAAGGGAGCTAGAAGTCTGGAGAAAATATGCCTTGTGACGGCTGAAGCTGAGAGATCAAAGCTTTAACATCTCTTTGCCTTCCTATGTTAGTATTACAGAGTATGTCTTGATACAAAACCAATTAGCTTCTTTGTCCCAAGAGAGATGTCCTGAGTCTCCGCTATGTTTCGTTTTCTCTAGCTCTGTCTCTTCAGTGCTGCGGGAAAACCTATTATTTGCCACCTCTGCCTACCGTACAGTGCCTAGGTGCAAAGTACCAAGAGGTCAACACTTTATGACAATGCCTCGAACTCTGGGTTGGTCAGAAGAGACACAACCTTCAGTGAACAATGTAGCTCATCTCGGTCGGTTCCAGAGCTTATCGTGAGAAGTCTGATTTCGGATTTATCGGGGTTGAGGGGATGGAATATCTATGACAGTGCCAATTGCATCCAATAACATTGGGGTCCAAAAACACAGGTCAAGGTAGTGTTGACAGACTTATGAGAGAAATAGATTGAATTAATCAAAGGTTAAGTTACGAGTCTATGGAAGGAGATTACAGGAGATGTAGTAGTAGTGCCTTGTAGCGGGATAATGATTACCCGTTCCGTGGTACAGGGTAAGCTTCAATAGGTGGAGAGTTATCAATGGCGGGGAAACACAGCAAAATCCAAAGAAATCGCACATGGCTGTATCTGCAATGCACTTTGTTTAGCAAAGCGGCTAACGATTTGAAGACACTCTCCACAGTTCAAAGGCGGGAAACAGAAACATAGCGCCGTGTTTTTAATTAGGTTCTTGGTGAATTTTCAGACTCTGCTTACTAAGGTAATGTAGTGTTGCCACAACGCGTTGTTTATTCAGTGACGCGACGCAAAACTTATATCAGAACGCGCGATAACGCGATTAATGCAAGCGGCATGTGAATTTAAGGATGAATTCAAAGGACGTTAAAATTTTCAACGCGTAAATTAATTCATAAGCGCTTTTCCATATGAAAGAGGTCTTTGGGTGATGAAATTCGTCTATAAATAGTCTTGCTGTTTGGAAGGCCCAATATCTGCTTTGAAAATTGCCCGCGATCCAAGTTATGAGAACCATGAATACCACAGCAGAACTCACAACTTAGAACATTGATCATTTACGCAGTTATACATAGTAGCTACCTGTCTCGAGTATCACATAGTCTAATTTTTACGACGAATATCTAAGGACATACGCGTCCAGGCCATACCCACGATTCGACTTACCCTTCTAGTATAGGGTAGGTAATCGGCTGCTTTCCGAAATACCGCGGCACAGGGCGGAAAGAAAGGAGAGACTTAATTAGCGGCCAGACCTCCACAGTGTCCCTCGGAGCGCGGGTCATTTGCCGGCCTGGGGGGCATTACCCTTTCGGGCGAGGAATGGCGATTATTATATGGAAGCGCCTTGCCGTAGGATTTGGCTGATAACTGACGTTCCAGAATTAGTTCTGCCAGAAACAGAGAATATCACTGAGATATCTTAACCCTCAAGCGAAAGACAAGATCAATGACTATCATCAAATTTGGACCGGACTCGGTAGTCCCGCTGTGGCTTGACGGCCAACAACATGTTACCGAAAGCACATTTGACGTGGTTTCCCCGGTCACAAATCAGCTTCTGTGGAAATCCTCTTCGGCCGGAGAAGATGACGTTGCGTCTGCCATCGCATCTGCTGAAAAGGCGTTCGAGACATGGCGCTGGACCAAGCCGTGGGAAAGGAGGGATATCTTTCTCCGCGCATACCATCTCTTAAAGGAGCGCCGTCATATATGCATGGCTCATAGCACAACGGAAACGGGTGTGCCGGAAGTCATGTTCGGGTTTGAGTACGCGACAGCGATGGAGATCTGTTTCCAACTGGCTGGCTTGGCTGGCAATGAAGCAGGGTTTGTTGTTGACCCAGAAGAGAAAGGCACCAGCGCCATGGTGATTCGTGAACCATATGGCGTCATTCTAGGCATCGCGCCTTGGAACGCGCCTCATACACTAGGACTGAGGGCGTGCTTGTTCCCCTTGGCCGCAGGAAATACGGTGATACTCAAAGGTCCCGAATTGGCGCCAGCAACTTATTGGCATTTCGTCTCTATTCTCCATGAGGCTGGTCTCCCCGCCGGCTGCCTTAATACCATCTACCACAGTCCCAGTGACGCGGCTAGGATCACTGGTCAGCTTATAGCCCATCCTGCAATTCGAAAGGTCAATTTTTGTGGGAGCACGCTGGTGGGATCTTCCATCGCTAGTCTCTGCGGCAAATACATCAAGCCCTGCATGATGGAGCTTGGAGGAAAAGGGGCTGCTATAGTTTGCGAAGACGCCGATATTGCGTTGGCAGCCCAGCAGTGTGCTCTTGCGGCCTTTAATCATGCTGGTCAGGTGTGCATGAGCACGGAGCGCATCATCGTTCATAAAAAGGTCTCAGACGCATTTAAAAAGGCACTGAAAATAGCTATAGATGAGAATTTCCCTGCAGACGGCCCAATCCCGATTCTGATCAACGAAAAGGGCGCTTTGAAGCCCCGCGGCTTGGTAGTGGACGCAATCTCGAAGGGTGCCGTCGCAGTGCACGGGGAGTTGCCAAGCCCAGGCGAAGATGGTGATGGGAGGAACCGTATGCATCCCGTTGTCGTTGAGGGAATCACTCAAGATATGGACATCTACTACAAAGAATCTTTTGGGCCATCGGTGTCTCTATATACTGTCGACGATGACAATCAGGCACTGACTCTGGCAAATGATAGCTCTTTTGGGCTTACTGCGGCAATATTTTCCGAGGATCTCCGGCGGGCAATGAGAATTGCTAAGAGATTGGAAACGGGCGCGGTTCACATTAACAATATGACGATCCATGATGAAGCCTCGCTCCCTCATGGAGGCGTTAAGGAAAGCGGGTTTGGTCGGTTTAACGGACGGGATGGACTAAAAGAATGGCTCCGAGTAAAATCCATCACTTGGAGGGATTAATTCTAAATATGCTCCTAAAATTGGTATTTGGAGGATTCATGGCTTAGTCTATACAGAAAGAACTAAAGAGTGAATCAAGCAAGTAAGATGCTGTTTCAATCTTACTGGAGTCTTCAATCAAAGTTATCATAAAGATGGATTTCATATTTTTAGCGTTTAACATGTCATGAAAATGTTTCCTTACCAACTAATGTATTAGGGTTCCTCAACCTCATTATCTAGTTTGTGCTTTCCTACCGGGGTGCTGAGAGTTGCGTTTGATGGCTGGTGAGATGGTAGGGGAGGATAGGGAAACCCTCTGACATGTATCTGGGAGCCAAGAGAGAATGTTTGGTGGGGTCTGCATCTGTTTCAGGTGAGTTCTCGTGGTGAGCGGTAGAGATATTCAGTTCATACTCGGCTTATTTGAAAGACTTCTTTTGAGCATCGCTGTCAAATACATCAAATTTATTAGCACCAATATGAGCTCCCGCATCTACTGCCACTGAGTAACATGCCAAGCTTGGTTTCTTATCTCCTCTACTGGATGACCCTGTGGCTTGCATAATGAGTATTTGTGTCCAACTTGGCCCAGGCTCTGAAACACAGTGCCGTTATCCAAATTATGCAGCTCATCATGCTTTAAAACTTTAAATAGAGGAGAATGCAGTTGATTCTGACATGCCTACTGAGGCATACGAAGTACGGCTCTACCAATAATATGACCGGCTGCTAGTTTGTCCATCACAGCCTGTAGCTCATCGAAGTTAAATAATTGTACCTCTGGCTTCACCTTTCCACTCAATACTAGTTCCATCAATCCTGGCATCTGGCTTTTGTCTCCCACGGTTGAGCCAATAATTGTTAACCCACGTACTAGCATTTCGAAAGGATTCACCTGAAGTCGGTAAGAAGACGGCGGAATGCCGACACATATCAGTTTGCCACAGTTTCGGAGCATAGGGAGAGACTCATCATATGAGCTTTTGGCACCAGTAATGCAGACAACGGCATGTGCGCCAAGGCCTCCAGTGACCGAGCGGACGTCTTCGATAAGACTGGCGCTCTTGCGGAAGTCGAAAAAGTGCTCTGCCCCTAGTGACATGCAGACGGTCGCTTTGTCCCCTGCGTCGATGGCTATGACTCGATAGCCTAGACTTCGTGCAATCTGCACACCAAGGTGGCCGAGGCCACCACCAGCACCGGTGAAGACCACGTAGTCTCCGACATTTAATTTGGCCCTAACCAGTGCTCCATAGGCAGTGATACCGCCGCAAAGCAGGGGCGCTGCAATCTCAGCAGGAATCTCATCTGGAATAGCAACAACATACGCTGCTTTTGCCACGCAATATTCTAGCAAGGTGTCAATTTCCATTTGGTAGCTGAGTCTGTGGACATAGTTTACTCACGTTGAAATGTTCCAGGCACATTCTGTCATAGGCTAGAATCAGGTTACTGGTCAATGATGGGAATCATGGTGTCCTACTCACTCTGCCCGAATTATTCTGTTTGGGGCAATGGACATATTCCACTGCGCATATCTCACAACTTCCACAAGCTTCATGAAGCCAACTTTGATTCAAGATCATGTTATTACTCCCGAGGATTTGTTATACTGATTCAAGATTGAGACTCACGATATGCCCACCCGGGTGTTGATGAGTGTTTCAGAAACCTGTGGTCCAGCTGTTGCATACGAGTTAGTCTTGGCCGAAGAAAAACGGGTTGGTTGCTCATACTCTTTATAACCCTTCCTACACCCTCATGGCCGGCAATGTGAGTACTCATTGGCGTATTGCCATAGATGGAATGGTGATCTGAGTGACTGGCGGAATTTATAAGCCGTTGTGTGAAAAAAGGATGGAACAATTAGATGTGATCCAAGACTCACCATACTCCGGTCACCTCTAGCTTAACAAGAACGTCCCCTGGGCCGGGTGAAGGAACTGCTATATCCCGGCGCTCGATCTTCGCATCAGGCCCTGGTTTTTCCACCCAAGCACAAACTTGATGTTGAGTCGCGATCGACATTTTCTCACCTCTTGCGGTTGAACAGAAAGCACTACCTAGATGAATATGTGAAACCGATCCGATTCAAAACTTCACGATCAATTCGTTCCTTATTTCATTTAAGAATGAGTGAGACAACACATCACCAAATAATCGATAGAATGGAACAGGACCGGAGCCGCCGAAATAACCTAATGCATCCGTGGAACATCGGCTTGTATGCCGGAGTTCCCGCCACCCTCCATATCATTACGTCGCGCTTGTGGTGTAGTGGAATCCGTTCCCGATACTGCCGAAATGCACTTACGTATTGCGTCGGAGGATTTTAGTTTCTGGATATTCCGCGGGCTGTTCACCGAATCAGCAGTGCATTCACCCGCGGGTATGGGCAACCTTGATGCATAATATAAAACGCTTTTCTGGTCGCAAACCCTACCAGACAAACCCTGCAGACTTACCATTTCCCTTTCCGACAATTAACCAACTCAAGTTTGAGTAATCGAAACCTACAATCTAATTTCACCATGTCACCCTCAGCCACCGATTCCCCCATCGCGGTCTTGAACCGATTCTACGAAGCAGAACGACGTTATATGGCGGCCGGTGGGAAAGCAGGCGGGGCTTCTTTTGATGAATTCGCCAGTACTATGGCAGACGATGTTGTCTTACACCAAACCCCGGACTTGCCGTGGGGTGGAGAGTATTTGGGGGTTGAGCGATATGCGGACTGGGCGGCACAAATGAGTGACTGTTTTGAGACTGTCGATGTTCAGGACGCCAAATTCATCGAGAGTGACGATCAAGTCATTGTGCTTTGCACACTGGAAACCAAGGCTAAGCGGACTGGCGAGGTTATACGACATCCGATGGTGCAGGTGATTACTGTGAAGGATGGCAAAATCACAGACTTTCGACCGTTTTATTGGCATGTGCCGGATTATGTTTCAGCAGAGAAGGGTTTAAAGACGAGTTTTTCGAAACAACTCTAATGAAAATGGGTCATTCCTCCATGAAAATTCTATTCATCCAATCATTAATTCTTGAACTATGTGATATTTTGACCTGCGAATATGATGCCTTCAGCACTAGACTCTAGTTTTGGGTAGGTATGGGGGAGGAAGGACTCCGGGGACAAGAATGAAGTTAAAGGCATTGTCAGAGAGAAGAAAAACTATTCAGGTTTAATTTGCTGCCGTTCGACTTGTTTAGCTGTTTAATGGATCGTGAGAACAGAGTAGAATTGAGGCTACAGCATTTGCGTACACTACCGTGATCATGCTGATCCCCTAATACTATTGAAATATTGATGTCTAGCCTTTTTTGTAAGGTCGAAAACTCTTATACTGTGGTCTCTAGTTGTAGAGTAAATAAAACTCGTGGATTAATAAACACAACTATCCTAGCTATCTACCACTATACCTCGATTCCTCCTTTGAAGCCAACAACAGATCGACTATTCCGGACGTCACACCACCTGATTTAACTGTGAAGCCCATCTTACGGGCCAATAAATGGGCTCACACCTCTCTACCTCTACCAGAGGCTACTACTTTCGGGAATGTTATTTCCCGCGACGTCCGCCTAAAATGTGCTGTCCTGCCACGACAAAACCCGAGAACACTGCCATAAGCCCACAGCACAAGGCGGCACTCCCGCGGAGCCCAATAGACCTGAACATGATAGGAAACCAAAATGGACCAATCTATGGATCAAGTCAGATGCCATGTTTGCCACAAGTTGGAGAGTACTTACAAAGCTCCAAATCTGCCGGACGAGAACGAGGATAACTCCAACTTCGCCTGAGTGAGTAGGGTTCTTGTCAACAGCGTCTATAACAGCGTTAATCGTATAATCCGTTTGATCATTTTACATCGATTACATACAGGTGAATAAGATTGTTGTGCTCATCTGGTTGCCGAGTCCTGCCAGTGCTAGTCCGATGTCAGGGCGGACATTCCACTTGCCCTCGGTAGCCTGATCTAGAGTCACCAGAAACACAGTGATTCCTGCAAAACAGAATCCGAGGGCTGGGTAGAATAACCATAGTCGCCTTTCAGGTAATGGCGGAATACCGTTTTTGACAGCTCGGTTCTGCCACCAGTCGCTCAGTGGACCGCTTACTATTTCACCAATTACATTTCTGTTTGACACATTGTCATCAGCCATTGGAAAGCGGAACGATATCAGTTTGATGATATGCTTACCCAATTATCAATGGAATAAAGTTGAGCCCGATAGCTTCGAAGTTGAGGTTGAACTTGCTACCGAGGAGTGCCGGGATCTCAATGCAAACCAGAACGCTACAGAAGCAGAAAATGACCATGTGGGCAAGAGCGGTCGTGTTTACACTGGCTTTGGCAAGCGACGTAAAGGGCAGCCAAAAGTCTCGTAGTTGCAGTGGTTGGGAGCCTGGTATTTTCCCAAATTTTAGGAATTTCTGGACCGGCGTCGGCTTTGTAGCAGGCATGGGATTATCGTCTTGTCGGATGTATCGCGTTTCGGGAGAGAAGAATAGGTATCCGATGAACTGTGCTCCGTTGAGCTGTTTTCGGTCAGCATAACGTTGCGCCTGGAAGTATATGTGTGGGACGCATCACCATCGCCATGATCCAAAATATCCATCTCCAGCCTACACGAACTGCTACAAAGCCCATGAGAAGAGGCCCGAGGGGGTTTCTGCCAAAAATTAGTACTAATAGATAGGTAATTGGAAATGTGCGCCATACCCTAATGTTACCATCAGACTGGCGTCGCATCCTTTTATATTAGCAATGCATGGTTCTCGAGTGATACACGTAGGTAACTCACGTCCAAATTCCCTACTCACGTTAGATAATACTTTTTGCGACTGGGCTGGTGACTCACAAGTTTTTGGCCTCTTTCTTTGGCGAAAAACAGCTCTACGACCACAGCAGGACCAACGGCCCCGGCTGGAGCATTGAAGAAAGCTTGGAACGCACGCGCCACGAGCATTTGAGCGTACGTAGTGCAGCACGCGCATCCGATACTACAGACCATGCAGAGAAGCGTTGAGACCAGCCACATAGGTCTGCGTCCAAACCGCTCCGATAGAGGCCTCCAAAATAGAGGTGCCACACCAAGAACGGCGACCTGTGAAGAAACTCACTGTCAGCGAGTAAACCTCTTGCCTAGTAGTGTGGATAGTCTTGCCTGGATGGAAACAATATAGGCAGCAGCATCGATAGACACGTCAAAGTCATTGGCAAATGCTTCAAAGGCGGGAATAGGAGAGCCAGCCACGAAACCAATCATAAGGGCATGGAAGGCAATCAGAAAAAGATTGATGCGGGACTGGGAGGGATAGTCGTCAGCATGTATTAAGGAGGCGGACGCGGGCAGTTGTCAAACCTTCCATCGAGGCCAGTTATACGGTTCGTTCGGGTCGGCAGAGGGTATCGGATCCAAGTCGAGGGTTTTATGGCGTTTAAGAATATAATTCTTGTGTTCCTCCGTCATCTGCGCAGTCACGGCGAGGGTGGTGGCAGGTTGTCGCGACGCGTTTGAATCTCCATCTTGAGACTCCAAGTGCTCGGAAGCAACGTTTAACTCTTCTCCTTTCTCCATGTTGGTGTTAAATGGCGGGCAAGAAGTGATGGTATGGCAAGAGAGATCGTGTATGGCGAACATGAAAGCAAGTAGCTACATTGTCGAGACGGGGAAAAGGGGTCTATTTTACAATGTCAACCAAGGCCAGCCATGTTGCGAATCCCTGGTTACCTGACTCATGCCCCTTTACTCCTTCAAGGAAAGGCAGAAACCAACCGATGGTTCCGCGGGCAGATCATGGCTAACCCCATACCCCATACCCCAGATACGTACTAAGAAACTCAGAACTCACCAGGGAAAGGGGATCCACACGGAATCGCAGGTGTGGAGAACTCATCCTGGCTCTGTTGCTGACGACTAAGCCGGTTAAGTTCCCGACAGTCCCGCGGGTAGATAAAGCCGGTTGTCCGGCTCTTCACTCCCCTCCCAGATTCATCTCCTTCACTACCCGACCCCAACATCCACCTGTTCAGAAATTTCCCAGACCCCAATATGTCTGCCGAAGGTGTCGCATCCACTCAATCTTCTCCGGCTGAGACTCCGCGGCCGGCTCAATCCAAGAGGCGACGAATCGGAGTAGCATGCATATCCTGCAGAAACAGGAAGTCTCGCGTATGTCTTGGCAAGGAGTTCTGGATCGGGGCTGTGGAGTGAGTCTGGGAGTTGCTAATTGATTGGCATGAGAGGAGCAGTGCAGCGGCCAGCGACCGAAATGTAGCACATGCAGTGAGCTAGACTTGGTGTGCGAATATGTCTCGTCTTCACAACCAGCCAAGACTGTCATGGTTGGCAAAGAGTAAGTCTATGATAAGTTTGATTGCTTGTGCTATGCGAGTTCGGTTCGTTTACTCATGCCTCTCCTATCTCTAGGCATATTCAGTCCATTGAGGACCAGTTGAAGAATTTTCATGCTCTTGAGCACCGTCTCAAAAGTCTTGAGGCGCAGCTTGAACGACAGCAACAGGGGTCTGAGTACATCCCACAGCAAGAATCTGGACAGACAAATATAGTTCCTCTGACAAATCGTAACCTCAACGATGTCTTCGACGGCCCTGAGCGTATGGACGGCCACAGTACTGACCCTCAACTCACGTCTCCAAGTGACGCTCCTACCACTAGCCTCGCGGAATCCAAAGATCCGACGGACGGCATGGGGCATTTCTTATTTGCCGATGAGGAAAATCGAGCATCCTTTGGTAAGCTATCCTCCGACCCGTGATATACTGAGGCAAAGAAATAGCTGATGAGTGATATAGGGCCATCTTCTAGCATTGCCTTTACGTCTGATCTTTCACAGACACTGTGGAGCTTGTCACAAAACCGTGGATCATTCGTCCCTAGCCAAGGAAATTTGACATTTTCAGAGTTCCACATTGCCAGGGTCTCACGGCACTCTTCCCCGGCCCCGGAGCTTGAGCGTGACATGCCGTCGATCTATTACTTGCCTGCAGATGGAGTGGTTACAGCGTTGATCGACAAGTACTTCTCAGATACCGGCCTGCTGTTTCCCTATCTTCACGAAGAAAGCTTCAGGAATACATACGCACAGCTGAAGAGCAATGCGGTGGCAATCTCTCGCACATGGCTTGGCCTTCTAAACATGGTCTTAGCCATAGCTACACACACTTCGACATCTCCTTCGTCGGACGCGGAGGCACGTAGCGAGCAGGCTGGCCAATTTTACCGTCGGGCGAATAGTCTATGCAATGACCATGTGATGAACGGAGCGAGCTTAGAAATAGGTATGAATAGCAGAGGCCATCCATGTGCTATCTCGCATTGCCATTTCCTTCCAAGTTCGCTTGATAGAGTATTGACGAGTTCTGTATTAATATCTGCAATACAGTTCAATACTTGCTTCTGGTGAGCCAATATCGACAGGGCACAAAGTCCTCGGCTCAAACTTGGGCAACACATGGTTTGGCTGTCAAGGTTGCTCTGCAGCTTGGGCTTCATTCCTCCGAGGCATTGAAAAGATTCCCGCCATTAGAGCGTGAGATCCGCAAGAGAACATGGTTCGGATGCATTGTTCTTGATAGGTAACTCTATGCTGAAAGCTCACAACACTGAAACGGTACTGATAGCCCGCACAGAAGCCTCAGTATGACACTTGGAAGGCCAGCATCCATACCAGAGTCTTACTCCCGTCTCGAGCTCCCAAAATACTATGATGGCATTGAGCCCTGGCCGCGACAGCCGTGGCAACTACAGCGGTGCCGACATAGCACTGACTTTTTCTGTGCTACAATGTGAGTTCGTGTATGGCAATGTGGTATAATTTGGGGCTAATGTGATCGTCCAAAGACGATTATACGCAATCATTGGTGATACTATTGATCTCTTATATGGCTCTAATCTGGGCTGTGGAGACGAGCTTACTGACTATGAGCTGGTGATACGCACCCTCAAACTAAGACGTCGTATTGATGAATGGTACAAACAGCTCCCACCACACATGCCCATCATCAAAGCAGAAGAGCACCAAGGATATCTAGGCTCGGATCAACTCCTCGATCGCCTCCGAACCATTCTCGCACTGCGATATCATAATATCCGGATCTTGATCCATCGCGCGGTGCTCGTCCGTTTACTGAAAATTATCAACAACTCTCAGACTGGTAGCACGCCGACCCTGGGAACAAGTGAATTGAAAGATGTCGTTGGAAGCACGGTGGAATACTGCATCGATTCTAGTAGTGAAATTATCAACATACTCCATGCAGTTGAGCACGGAAATGAGGAACGCCGTGGCATGCTTGGTGCCTGGTGGTTTACCTTATATTATGGTCAGAAATCCTGGTCTCTTTGTTGGATGAAACATGTTGCTCACATATTCTGGATGACAGCTTTCGATGCCGCCCTCGTACTATTCACGATCTTGTTGCTTTTACGAAGAACCACCTACGTTACTCTGCCAGCTCGTTGCACGCCGGAATCACTAAAAGAGCTATTCACAAAATGTGTAGAGGCTTTGGGGCTCTTGGACAAAGGCAACACCACCGTGAAGCGGTGCTCGCAATGTTTACAAAAGTTGGCGGAAGTGATTAAATGGACCGGTGCGTGAACTTCTCCTTTCAGCACTACACTCGCCGAATGCTTACAAACTCCATTATCAGAATCAAATCATCCTCAAGAGCCTGTCGTGGCTAACCTTGAACTGAGTGAGAATTCACAAATTGGCAATTTATCCGAGCCATTCAGGGCTTTTTCGCCCCCTGGAAGCTTCGATGGCTTCTTGCACCAGGATCTATCACTGTTTAACTTTGATTTCATGGCAAACGATAGAATGGGATTCCCAGATGAGTTTGGACAGAGTCGGCCGCTATGAGAGTATTGTGATTGTATCTTTAAGATCTCAGTCGTAGTTATATGAATAGCTAGGCTAAAAGGTAAAATGGAGAAAAGCGCAAAAAGAAGATTTTAGCTTCGTTTTTTTCCCCCATAGCGATAATCTATGCGTAAGCCACTTCGTTTCTCAATGTCCCAATTTCCGAAATATGCACTTCCATCCGGGTCCCAGGTCTCAGCCAGCTCGGAGGCTTCATATCACCACCGACACCTATTCCCATGGTTAGTCATTCAAAGCACTCAGCATCACGATATTGGATCTTCACTTACCACCGGGGGTACCGGTCATAATAACACTGCCTTTCTCGAGAGTGGTGCCTTGGGATAGGTAAGAGATGAGATATCTGCAGTCAAACAACAAGTCTGATATAGACTCATCTTGCCTGACTTGACCATCTATTGTCGTTTTGAGATGCAGGTCTCTTGGTTCTATAACCAAAGCGCTCGAAACTAGACAAGGCCCAAGCGGTGCGAATGTATCAAAGCCCTTGGAAAAGCCCCATTGAGGGACTCTGCCCGCATAGTTTGGATCGCGCTGCAATTTGCGCGAGGAGATGTCATTTCCAACCGTGTAAGCTGCTACATAATCCATAGCATCTTCTTGAGAAACGTCTTTGGCATCCTTTCCAATGACGATGGTCTAAAATTGATGGATCCGTCAGTTTTGACACCATGCTTCTGAGAAGGAAGGGCAAACACTCACTAACTCTCCTTCATAATCAGCTTGATCATCCTGACAGATCTTTGGAATGACAACATTGTCATCAGGACCAACGATAGTAGCGGTGGGCTTGAAAAATATGAATGGGAATGGAGGCGGTGTTCTTCCTGCTTGTTGGACTATTGTCAGGACAAGTTAGCTGGAGAATTGACATGCCTTCAGAGCGCAATGGTAGAGCCTCACTGTGCTTGATATAATTCAAACCCACACAGCGGAGGATAGGGACATCTTTTGCCGTGATAGGACAGAGAATCCGCTTGACTGTCACCTGCTCTTCGGTGACTCTAGTTGCTCCGGTGGTGTCATAGGGATCATCTCCCGTTATGACCCTGGCCTGAATATTATCGGCCTCGGTTACAAGGCCCAAGTCGAAGTCTGGTCGAGGAAGGATGGGTTCTCCTCGCAGAACCCGGCCATCTGCGGCCTGAAACCGAATTAATCTGCTCCAAGGTACCTTCATGATGGCTTTTCGTACAAAATACTAGTCATTACTTGTCTACTATTTTTTGACTGAAACGGATGCATGATCCTGCCCAGGTCTTTATCCATAGCTGGTCAATACAGTGGCGGGTTCCGGGGAGAGATCGGAACCTAGGCGGCTTGTGCAACAAATGTGGCAAGGCGCTCCGGAGTGAGCCTCGGGACAACACCCGATGTTCCCGATACGTAACTACCGCCACGTACTATCCGGATTATCAATTCAAACCATGTTGTGAAAGAAGCCATTTGAAGAATACGGATATAATTGCAAATAAAACTAGCTTGTTCTCGATCAGTTGTTGTGCATGTATATCCCAACCAGCACTTTCAGAACGCACCTTATCAGTTGTCACATTAGAGACGATACTCATCATACAACATGACTACCGGAACAATGACCCAGTTACAGCCAAACACAAATGGCACCAAGAGATCCTCTGATGCCGAGAATTTGGTCAATGCCTTCCAAAGCCTCAACATTAAGCCTCTCTGGACTCAGATGGAGAAGCTGAACCCTCCCCTGCCCAATCCTACTTGCGTCCCTCACATTTGGCGCTACGAGGATATCCGCCCGAGTCTGCTCAAGGCCGGGGAGGTCGTGACTGAGAAGCAAGCTGAGCGCAGGGTTCTCATGTTGATCAATCCTGCAAGAGGTCAGCCCCCCGTCTCATGACTTGGTAATACATACCACTGACTCATTGATAGATTCTCCCTACACAACTGACACCCTGTATGCCGGTCTGCAGCTTGTTATGCCAAATGAAGTGGCTAAAGCCCATCGCCACACTGCATTTGCGATGAGATTCATAATTGAAGGCCAGGGCGGCTTCACGGCTGTCCATGGTCGCCGGATCAAGATGCAACGGGGGGATGTCATCCTGACGCCGACCTGGAACTGGCACGACCATGGCAAGGATGGGTCTGGCCCTATGATCTGGCTTGACGGCTTAGATCTCCCCAATTTCCGCCACTTTCCTGTGCACTTTGTTGAGCATTATGAGAAACCTCGCTATCCTGCTGAAGATGTTGATACAAACACGTCGCCTATGGTCTTCCCTTGGGCCAAAATGAAGAAGAGTCTTGATAGTGTTCCAGGGGCGTGGGCATCAAAGGATTACCTGAAGAGCGACGGCCGGCAGGTATCGAAAGTCTTGGGCGGTTCGGCCGAGCGACTCAATGCCGGCGCTTCATCTCCCGGGATTCGGGAAACTAGCTCATCCGTCTACCATGTTGTGTCCGGGCAGGGATATTCAATAGTTGGGAGTGAGAAGATTCAATGGAAGGCTGGTGATACGTTCTGTATTCCGTCTTGGTTCCGGTACCAGCATGTAGCGGATGCTGGCATCGATGTTTATCTTTACCGTTTCCATGATAAGCCGATGCTTAGCTCCCTTGGTTTCTATCGTGTCGAGGGCACGGATCTAGAGACTTTGGTATCTGACTAGGTAGATGTTTCCCGTATTTACTACAATATACAGAGTAGTATGCTTTATCCTGAGAGTCTGCCTTATATTTTCTTGCAGCATATAAGACGAAATGTGGCGAGGACTGGCAGAAGATGTTGGTAACAGCCTCCCGAGAATGATGTGGAAACGAAACACACATAAACCAAGCGCTTGATAGAATTCCTCATTAAAGCATGAAATAACGAAATGAGCCGTTCAGCTATAGTCCCAACATTGAAAAAACCATGGATTGTGCATTCACTACGAAGTTCAGCCATCTGTGTCTCATTGAGCTTGGTTTTCGCCGCAAAGGGGAGAATGACATATATGTCGAAGAAGCGTCGTTAGCCAGCACAGGCGTGTATTTCTTTTTATCCAAATGCAAACAGAGGAGCACAGTTAAGAGTACGCCTTCAACTTTATCGCTTATCTTACTCTAGGTATATCCTGGGTCCTCCTTTCGACACTCTCTGTTGGAGTCGTCTGGCCATCTTACCCTATATCTTGGAGCATTTTCTCGGTTATTGTTCAAGGTAACATCTCACTCAAGTCGCTCCCAAATTGAAATTCGGGTGGGAATGTAGGGTGAGGGTATAGCTCACGGATAACTGAGAACAAATCATCACTATTCACAGGCTCTGCGAAGGCAAAGACAAGCTATGATTTGACATCTGAGTGAATTGCGGCGGCCACACGAGGAATCGCATTGTCTTGAACATTGACAAAGTACTCGGCAGATTCAATCCAGTTTAGTTTCGACCTTCATTCGAACTGTTTATCTCAAGTCTCGGGGATGGATGGACTCATTAGCAGGGTAGCCAATGGGGACGAGTTGCTTCGGAAAAGCTCTCCTACTCTTCCTAATGTACATAGATGTCCTTGATTGCCATAGTTGAAGCTTAGCCTAAGTTTATATTTGGCACAACAGTATTGAGAATAAATTCAGGCTTCTCCCCGGCCATGAACTTACATGCGTCCTTTTCTGGCAGCGTAATCAGGACATCGTCGCTCAGGCTGGTGGGATACCCGACAATCCTGATCCAGTCGCATGAGACGTGCAGTTGTTGAGTCCCAAGATCCACCCTTCGTCGGTGGAGGCTGGCAGGGATGAGGTGGACATGTTCCACTTCTCCCGGTCCAAAATCGCCCCGGCTGGCTGACCAATATGATCAGGATTTCTGATATTGGGATCTATTGCAAGCCACGCGGGTCCCTCCCGCCATCCGACATGCGAGTAACGCCTTGGCAGCCATATCATTGTCGTCTGAAATCAATCCTGGCGGCTTCACCTAGTTGTGAAAGATTGCTATTATTATAGTTGATCCCTATGATGAATTTCGCTGACGCTTCCTTATTATTATTATCATTATTACTAAAAAGGAGTGGTAGGATTATGCATGCATAGGAGCTCGGTGCCGAGATGCTCATGTATCTTCATTGACAGGGGGGTTCAGACACCAAGGATCTACGTTTTGTGCCGTCTTCATATCCTTCGTTGAAAGATTTAGGAAATCCGAAATGCTTAGACTGGTAGTTTCGTTTTATGATTAATAAATTTTCATTATTAATAAAAGCTAAGCCTCTAAATGCAAAGCATACTTTTGCTTCCATCCAAGCTGGATGAAGCAGCTGTCTCTAGTATAGCTGGGGGCATCTGGAACGGTGGCCTGCGCTTTGGTTCTTTCAGTGACGAATGGGCCTTTTGTTAAAGTATATTAATATAAAAGCTGACCGTTTATCAACTGCATGCAACGTTGAACTGGGGGTAGCCAGTCTCCCCTCCCACTGTGCCTCGGCGGAACCCTGTATCGGGGAATTGAGCCGCTATCTTCCTGGAGGGCCTAATACCGACTTCTTATTGCTCATGGTGTATTTAAGTGCAGAGGATGGACTTTGGGAATATCTCACTGTGTGTTGGTAGTGCATAATTAGAACAAGTGCATTCAAGGCTGTTCCATGTCGCTCTACCTTGACAATTTGATAAACTAGCTCGGAAATTATATAACGTGCGGTCATTTCCTCTTTCGCCAGAAACCATGGCGACTCGCGAATCTGTTGAGGGAGTTGTACGCGAGTGTCTAGACCCCTATAGTTGGAGGAAGGTCAGAATACGACGGTGCGTTTTACATCGGGGCCCATGTCTTGCTCAGCTAGGGCATTGGGAGGGGATAGAAGGGCACAAGAGGTCTGCTCTCCTGCCATGTAATTGAGGTATGCAAGGTAAAGATAGGCCCACGTGTCCGAGTCTCCATCTGTTGATGTGATAGGAGACATCAATTGAACAAATCGGGGAATCATTGCGACAGCATTGGGGGTTGGAGCGTAGTATGTACC